AAATCTCAGTCTGACAGATTTTGATATCAGAGGTTTTGGCGTCTCCTGCCTTTCCAACACTGAAATATGGGAAGAGTTTCTCAGTGAAAGTGTGTCTGTGAGTGTAGATGTGAGTCATGTCTTCAGGGTGATAGAAGGACACCTCCCCCCTGCCATAATCCAGCTGGACTCTGATCCTCTGGAGACTCTTCTTCACTGTCACAGTCTGACCATCACCATTAGTGTATTCTCCAGTTTGACACTCTAAACACCAGATTCCGAATTCTGGTGATGCACAAGGTTCATTCTTATCAGCTGACTCTTTAATTAAACCTATAATCCAGTCAGGATGGTCTCCCACCTCCACCTCCCAGCTATGTTTCCCTGAGCTGAAGCCCTCATAACCAAAAAGAGTACAATACTTAGTGTATCTCTCTGGATTATCAGGAAGCTGCTGCTTTGTGTCTCCACGCCTCACACTGGTCAGATCATCAGACAGATAGAGACAGCAGTTTGCAGTGTTTGGGTCCAGAATGACAGGACTGAAGTGGACCTGCTCCTTCATCTTCTCCCACACTCTGAAGGACAGGTTGCCCAGGTGTTTGGCCACATCTATCAGTGCTCCTGAGACCAGCTGTGGATCTGACACTGAGCTCTGGGCTCTGGCTCTGCTCTGAGTGTCTTTATAACTGCTGAGGAATGGCGCGATGTGTTTCTGCAGCTCTTCTTCAACAGCACAGATGCTGTCTGACAGAGAGGAGATCTGCTCCTCAATCATCTTCATCTCTCTGCTGATAGTCCTCCCCTTCTGCTCCTCTTCCTCCCTCAGAGCTGCCAGTCTGGACTCCTCTTCCTCTTTCAGGAACTGCTGGAGCTTGTTGAACTCTGCTCTGATTTGCCTCTCTGTGGACAACAGCTGCTTCTTCATGTGTTCCCCAACTTCATTGTATGTTTCCTCCACTTGTTTGTATTTGTTCCTCTTGTCCTGCAGAGACTTTAAGTCAGATTTCAGCTGCTCCTTCAGGTCACTGACTGCTTCTTCTACAGGAACCACTTTGTGACTCTGATGGTGAGGAAACTCACACACGGTACACACAGCTCTCTGCTCGTCCACACAGAACAGTTTAGATTCTTTTCGGTGTTGATTGCAAGACATTTCCACCATCTTCTTTTCTTTTACTGTCTCGGATAATCGAGCTGTATTTATCCCATCATACTTATCAGCCACTTCATTGTGATCAAAGTTGGCCAGATGGGTAAGAGAGTGCATTTGATCTTCCATGTGGTTGGAGGGTCTCCTTTTACAAATAGGGCAGATTTTGTTTTTGACTTGTTCTCAAAATTGTTGCGGGCAGCTTGAATAGAATCTGTGGTTACAGATCAGAGACACAGCATCTTTGAAAATCTAAGAACACAAAGTGGATTAAAGTGCAAAAGAAAATAAGTCTTTTTCTGCATTTTCTCTGTTTTCAAATGAGAAACTCACCAAATCAAAATTCCTCGCAGTTTTCCTCCTACTGTCCACCAAGTAAGTACAGACTGGTAACAGACACCAAACCCTGTAATGACTACTTGGTTTCAACAGTCTCTTCAAATTTCATCTAAATCATTCATTGGTTGATTATTAACTGCATTGTGCTAGCTTTTACTACCCTTATGGAGAATGGGATCTGTCCCGGAACAACCATAAACTAACCTACTGACTCAAAACTCTTGAGAATCTTATTTTGGGGATAAAATTATTACTTTTTTAGTTTAAGTTATTTGTGTTTTCCAAGCAAATGTCAAACATTTGTTTACATTATAAATCTCCCCTTTTATTTTAGATTGCAGCTCTTTCTTTGGATGCTGCTTCACAGCTTTTATTGTCCTCCTGTTGCAGCCTTGATGTCAACAGTTATTACCTCGTGTATTCTTATAGACAAAGGAGTTCTTCATACTTCCCTGTGGTTTATGATTTTATTTTATTTTTTTGCAATAAGTCATTGTATAGGCTCAGTTCCAAAAAAGGCCAAATTCCAATGTACAAACTTTTTTTAAACTTACATTTATTTTTAAAAACAAATATTTTTATTTTTAAAACAGATTTTAAAGTTGGAGGTTTTTGCATCTTTTGCCTCCAAATATGAAAATAATGGAAGTGTTTCTTTAAATGCAGGTCTGAGCCCTGTTTTCAATTGATATTTGTCCTTTTATGTTCACAGACACATCAAACTGGAGCCAGGCTTCTCAGTTTTTTCCCATCTGACATATGAAGTGAGAGTTTAAAGAAACAGCAGCTCCAACCGAACAAATGTTTAAGGATTACTAAAGTAATGTTAGTACTGAATCGTTATAACAGACATCCATCTAGATTCTAGATGGTTAATCAGCAGAAAATCACTTATCATTAAAAAAAATAAAAGATTAAAAAAATAAAGGTTGATTAGCTTCCACTTGGATTTAACCCCACCAGCATGGACCTCTTTGTATGGTCTGCCTATCGTCCCATAACAGCTCAGATAGGCAGCAGTTCCCACCATCCGCCCACATGGATAAATGGAAGAAAACGGATGGATGTTCTGAGATTTTAAAAACCACAGAAAACAAATATTTGTGAAAGTCAGATTTTATTACATTTTTTCTAATCTGTTGGATTCCATTGCTAACTCCAGTATTAGTACTCATTAACTGATTACACTTAAATGTAACCTGATGCCTTTCAGTGCATGTGTGGCTGAAGAGCCCTAATTTTTTAAATTATTATTAGAAAACTGATATAGAGCTTGAGCACTGTTCATCAGATACATTACATTTCCATGTTTGTTTCCACCAACTCTAGATTTGCCCAGAATTTTTAAAGAGAAACACAAAAACATCATAAAAACATTTATTGACTGAGAAAATCAGCGATCACTGATTCTCTTTTTTCAAATGAAACCTTGCCTTGAACTCTCTGCCAAGGAAACACAGTTCAGTAACAGATGCCAAGCCCTGCATTGGTTTCAAAATACTCTACTTGATACTCAGATTTCATGTGGATTTTTTATCAGTTAGTTATTAACTGGATTCTGCTGTCTTATATTACCTTTAGGCAGAACAGGATGCAGCTGAAACATGTATCATGGACTTCAAACCCTGGAGATTTTGCTTGCTATCATTTGATCAAATTATTTTTTACTTCATAAGCCATTTGTGTTTTTCAAGCTCACTGTCAAACATGAGCTTCATTTATGTCATAAATCTCCCCTTTGACTTTGGTTTATGGTTCTTTCTTTGGACTTTGCTTCACAGCTTTTATTGTCCTCCTGCAGCTTTGATCTCAACATGTATTACATTGTGTATTGTAAGAGAACCAGGGATTTCTCATGTACTTCACTGTGGTTTATGACTTTATTTTGATTCATTTTTTACAATGAATGTTTGTATGGTGGTGGCGATTTTACTACATTGCTGTTTGTTCATGTCTGTACAGTAGTACAGAAATGTAGTAGCAGCTTAATAACCTCCTGACTGAAATGTGAGGAGTAAATGCTAAAATCCCCCAAACAACCTCAAGCGCTTTTTTTAGTATATGCAGGACTATATTGTGAAAATCAGTACAAATATTGTTTACATTAAAGACTTTTTGTTGAAATTCATTTTGTGGATCTATTTTACAAATTTGGAGAATGAAAAAAATACATTAAATATTTAGCATCTCATTTTATTCTTTGTGGTTATGAGGGTCATTATTTTGCATGCTGTTCTATGGGTTTCTTATGTACATAGCTGAGAGGAGATGAGACACATTCGCTGCTGTTTCACTGACCCTGCATGTTAATGCTGCGCAACATGTAACTGCACAATAACTTTGGTGTCAGATCAAACAGACAAGCCAGTCAGTCAAGTTTTTTTAAGCTTGGAATAAAACAAAACAGCTTCCATTCAGATGAAATATCACAAATACCTTTAATGAATCCCACAAAACAAAAAAGATTTTGATTGTACTAACAAAACCAAATA